CTGATCTCGCACTCCGACGGCGCCAACCACACGCTGCTGCGCTTCTCGGCCGGGGACGTCCTGGAGGTGCTGGTGCCCCAGGCCCAGAACGGCTGGCTCTATGGCAAGCTGGAGGGCTCGTCCGCGTGAGTGGGGTCTGCGGGACGTGGGTGGCGGGAGGTGAGGGCCTGGGCCCATAGTGCCTGCAGCCTCCAGGACTGGGCTTTCCCACGTCCTGCATCCCTGACGTCACTTTCCCCATCCCTACCCTGCCTGTTTACCCATCTGTTCCACGGGGATAGGAAGAGCCACCTCCCGAGTTCAGGGGGGCAGCTCTTGAAAAGCGGAGAGAATAGCTGAAATCAAGCCAGTCCTGGTACTCAGGAGCCTGAGGCAGGAGGATTGTAGGTCGGATCCCAATCTAGACTACGTAGTGAGATCCTGTCTCAGAAAGAAAAAGCCGAAACCAGGCCATTTTGCTGTTTTGACACCCGGAGTGGACCAGGGAGAGGAGCAATACAAACATTGCGTCTCCAGAAAGCCTCTGGCAGCGCAGAGCTAGCAGCCCAAAAGGCAGTGTGCAGGACCACACGTTTTGCTGAGGGAGGAAAGGGGGGTCAGGCAGTGCCCTCCACAGAGTTTTATGGGCAGGCCAGCGAGATGCCCACTCCCACTCATGACCCAGGAGGAAGGAGGAAGTGAAGGAGTAGGGGGAGGCATGTGTGTGAACCGGTGCGTGGGCGCATGTGCATGGGAGATAGTATGGGTTTGCACACGAACACATGTGTGTGCGAGTGGGGGGCAGTTGGGGGCTGAGTGGGTCGACGTGGGATCCTGCAGACTGAGGGGTGTCGGGGGAGGCATCTGAGAGGGCTGTGGGTGACGGATGGAGAGCACGCACTGCACGTGGGTGGGTGAGGAAGCAGGAGTGACACCTGGTGCCAAGGTCACAGCCCTGCAGGTGTGGAAAAGGGCCAGGGGTCAGACAACTGAGACCAGGAATGGGCTGCCCCTGGAGTGCCCCAGGGTGGAGCAGACTTCCAGGGACCTGCTGGAAACCTTCTAGACCAGTGACGGTGAACTGATGGCTTATCACTGGGAGCTGTAAAAGGTTTGCCATTACTGTCCGGACAAATGTTCCTGCTCTTTGGGGGCACATAGGGCAAGTGACTGCAAGGTGCGTCCTTGGTAAGTTATCCCTGGTGAGGACAGAAGGGCACACAGGGAAATGCTTCTCTTCTTGCCACCGGGGTGGCACTTCCGGGTGCCTTTTGGTGAGGATGCCGCTGAGTGAGTTGTTTGGGGTTGAGGCAGCTCTTTGGAGAACATTTCCCCAGGGACTCTGTTCTCAAGAGTTTGCACCCTAAAGGTGCAGTGAGTCTCCAGCCCAGCAAAGACTCCAGGTGAAGACCAAGTGCAGGACAGCGGACTGCCGCCCCAGTCCTCTGGGTGAATGGTTGCTTAGGGGATCCTGGGGCGGAGGGAAGCCGCTGGGCTGGAGTGGGAAGGCTGCGGGCTTTAACGTCAGCCATCCTGGGCTTGGGCGCCCCTTCCTCCGTGCACCTCTGTGGCCCTCCCACCACCACCCGTCCCCTTCGTTGCCACCCTTAGCTCACTGACTTGTCAGCCTGTGTATGGGTCTGTACCCCACCAAGGCTGGGAGCTTCTACGTCAGCCATCCGGCTTGGGCGCCCCTTCCTCCGTGCACCTCTGTGGCCCTCCCACCACCACCCGTCCCCTTCGTTGCCACCCTTAGCTCACTGACTTGTCAGCCTGTGTATGGGTCTGTACCCCACCAAGGCTGGGAGCTTTTGGGAGGGACATGTGTCATGTTCAGGGCAGAGAGAGTAGGGAAGAGAGCCACATCTTAAGTCCAGGGACAGATCGTTTCCTCCTGGGACTCCCAGTTGCTCCTCTCAAAGGCACCCGGTGGAATATGAGATGGGAAGGGCAGGTGTAAGACCTTGAATGCCTGGAAAGACTTCTTCCGTGGAAGTAACCAGGTCACTATCTGCAAAGCCCTCAAGCAAACAAAGCCAGGCACAGGACAGTGGGCAGCATCTGTCTGCTCTTCTTGGAATTGTTTCGACCCTTGTTACTGGTCTTGTTTGAAGGACCCTCTGTCTGTGCCCTGCAGGAGTGGCTGGTTCCCCGAGGCCTATGTGAAACCATTGGAGGAGGCACCCATGACCCCCTTGAGCCCCATGACTGCCATGGACCCCATGAGCCCCGTGCACGAGCTGTCTTCCAGGTACCTGGTGAGGTGGGGCTCCCGTGGGGGGTGTCCTTGCTCACTCAGGGAGGCACCTGTGAACTGTAGTCCTGGGGGCCTGGCCCCTTCTGTCCCCAGGAAGCCACCCTGACACCCTTCCTCTTTCCACTGAAGGCCATCCTGCCTCTCAGGTGCTGGGGCAGGGGCCCAGCAGATGGGGTTGGAGCAGCAGGGCCAACCCCAACCCCTTTCGCTCCCCTCCCTTGCC